AGTTAGGGCCCAGCTCACAAGACACCATTTATGTTTGCCATCACGCTGCTCTGTCATGCAAAGGAACTTCAGAGTTCAAGATGTTTCCTCTATTCAGCCTCAGGGTTTTCTCTCTGTCCCTCCGGGAGCCCAGCCTCCTCTGTGCAGGTGCCTGGCAAGCTTTGGACCTGAGCCCTAGCCCCCTGACAGCCTACTTGCATGTCAGGCTGTAAAGGGCAGATCTCCCTCTCTTTTACAGGCACTGATCTGTTCTCATCTTCCTACTGCTGATGTGGCGCAAAGCCTGGAGACAGCGTATTTGGGTCAGCTAAAGCCCTCGGTGATTTTAAAGAGGTATTCGTAAGAAAACAGCAACATATCTCACAAAAGCCTCCCCAAGAGGTTATCTAATCCACCCCTGCCTCAGACAGATATCGTAAGCATTCAGCAGAGCTAGTTTACAACCATTCAAAAAAAAAAAAAAAAATCCCGTGCTGGAAGATTTCACACTCCCCCAAGCGGTCTATTCTAGCTGTCTTCCAGACAGATCTTTTCAATGCTTAATCAACAGATTTCCCTGCTGTGGCTTATTCCCCATATTAACAGGCCTGTCCTAATCACTATGGGATCATTCCTCCTTGTTGAAATCTTTCATATGTTTGAATATTCCCTGCCCCCTGCTCCCCAGTCCTTGTTTCCATAGGGAAAAAAAAAACCCAACCCCGCAGTTTTTCCTTATCATTCTGTAAAATGTAACATTTTCTAGATACTTGTTTATCATGCTGCTGCCCTCTGGCCCTTTCAGGTATCACCATCTTCCTTGAGTTGAAGTGCCCAAAGCTGAAGTACTGTGTTCCGGCAGAGGCTCTCATGATTAGCACCACAATCCCTCTGAACTACTCTCCCAGGCTAATTTAAAAACTGTACATAAAATACTAAGTGTTTAGAAACAAAACTTCAGCAAAAGCAAATATTATTTGAACAAGCAATTTCAATTGTACCGAAGTAATTTTTTTCCAAATTGTTAGTTAGGTTAAAAAAAGGCAGCTTGCCACATAAAAATCAGTAGCTCTAAGCACAGGCCAGCAAGAGACCTCCAGGAATACTGTGTTTCTCCTAGGAACCGAGAACCAGTTAGCACAGTGCTCAAACAATAAATCAGTTCTACGATAATTTGGCAGACATATCAGAGCAGCCAGTTTTATTGGGAGCAATAATATCTACAGAAACTGGTATTAATTTTAAGATATTAGTAAAATTTTATCACCAAACAGCAAAACTTGGTGGTCGGGTAATGTATAAATCTGTTTTGGTTATTGCAACAGGGCGAGTGCTGTTCTCCATAAGGCTCTGATAACACAAGCAAAGGAACTCAGGCACTCCGAGTAAATCTGGTTAGCTGCTGTGAAGTCCACTCCTGATGTAAGCACTGGGGGAGGTTGTGTCAGCTGCAGTAAGTCAATAAAGAGCACACACAGGATTGTACAGGAAGGCTGGACACAACATGTCAGTTTTTTTATTAACCAAAAACGAAGCTAAACCCCAGAGTGGTTTAACTTGTTAAAACCGTATGTTTATATGGCAAGTATTTTTCTTTCATGTTCAACACTATAGTGCAAGAACCAAACTTTGCAGCTGTTCATCCTTTGAGAATCAAGTACTAAATGTAAAATGAATTAAAAATAAGGGTCCCTCAATGAATCAATTAAAAAAAACCCATTTAACTCAAAAGAACAGACCAATTTTAAGAACTGTTTTATGAAATTCTCCCAAGTGAAAGACCTTTAAAAGCACTTGGAGCCTTGAGGTAGCAACTTTATGCAGAATTTAATTCCCCTCCTGCCCCACAGAGCAGAGGAAAATTAGTAGCGCATTATTAGCTCCAGCCAGCTAAGCGGAGTTGAGTGCTCTCCTATGAGGTTAGTGACCTTCTCTTGCATCTTGAAATAGCAGTCTAGTGCTGCAGACCGTCAGGAGGAAACCCACCAGGAAGGCCTCTTGAAATAAAATATATGGTTTGAAAAATAGTTAAAATAATCAGCAATAACCGTAACAACAAAAAATATCTGGAGTGAAAAAACCCAAAGTGTTTGTATTTTGGCAAGACTAGTTTATAAATACATGTCAAGAACAAGAGTCCGCTTTCAGCCAACAGAAAAGAAAGAATGGAAGTGACATTCAAAGGGGTTTCATTTTTTGCCCTCTGTGCAAAATTGCACTTTGTTTTTAAAGTTTTGAGTTTTGCACTTTTGTTTCTAAAAAGAAAGCACTTTTGCCCTTTTTTGTTCTTTCACATTGTGAAACCTGTGCTGTGACATTAAACAGAAATACCATATGCCAGGATATTTGACCACTGAAAGCTCCTCTCACCAACTTCACAACAATCACAAGCAGGGAATCACAAACAAGAGACTTTTTCTCCCCTCTAAGTCTCGAAGACACTATCCTCTTCACCCACTTTGCTGCTGACTTATTTTATTAAAAACTAGATCTCTCTCTACTGCCAATTTCAGAGACTCCATGGCAGATTTACTGAACACTGAACAGTAACAACAAAAAACCTGGGCTCGTTGTCACGACAATCGCAATGAACAGTCATCGCGAAAAGGAATGAGCTGAGATAGTGATGCGCGCAGATCTTCACAAACAGGCGCCTCGCTTCACTCCCTGGTCTTGTTATCGCCACTCACACCCTTTCCGACTTTGCTCATTGCTGGTGCTCTAACGAGATACCTGGCAATGCTGAGTATCTCACTACAAGCTTCTCTCACTATCTTCATGCTCCAAAATTGTACAGAACAGGTTGGTTAGACCAGACCAAACTAATCGGGCACATTGCAAATTCTAGCTTTTAAATGGAAGAGCCTTCTTACAGGCTCATTCTCTTTCAGCTCAAGGTCAAGTTGCCTCTTTGCACCACAGAGTGATGTTACACAGATCCTGGATGCAGGATGGCATTGCCCAGTATGCCTTTCCTTCAGGGAGTCTAGAGAAAGGTAAAACTTCACAACTTCTTGCTCGCATGGGATCCCAATCTTTTCACTTTACGTTCTCATCCTTTCCTTTTGACTTCTAGAAGCTATCAAATCCTCCCTTCCAGGCAGAATTACCTTAAGAATCTAACATCAGCCTTGCATGGTTTTTTTGGTTAAGCTTCAGAACAATTGCCAATGTTTGCATATGCTGAGGTATACAATTCTGTCCTGCAGAGAACCAAAGGCTGTAAGAACCAGAATTCATCGTAAGGCTGCCCAACCTGCCAGGGTCCTCTGGATAAAGGAGAGGATATTCTGTCTGGGAGCAACAAAGGCCAACTGATGATGATGATTCACAGCATGATGATTCTCTTTAGCTTACATGACAGTTTAGGCAGCCCAGAAACTCCTACTATTTTGGAGACTAGTTTATGTCTGGTTCGCAGGACAGTCACGAGCTGGCTTCAAAAAGACTCTTGTCTTGGAGCCCAAAGTATCTTAAAGTTTTATCTGTTATCAATGCAAGGACCTGATGAGTGTGGGGTTTTTTTTCTTGTTTTTTGTTGGTTGGGTTTTGTTGGTTTTGTTTGTTGTGTGTTGTTTTTTTTTTAAAATTCTGTAATCAAAAGAATTATTTTGTCTTTGGTGTTAAACCTTGGAAGCATGAATGAAGTACCTGCTGCTGCTTCGGCTATAATTTACAACAAAAAACCAGCTCAGTAAAGCAAGGGAAATTCACTGTTCTAAAATACATGCAGTTAGAACAGCCACTAGACATCACAACCAGGACTTTAATAATATGGAAATACCTAGTTTAGTGGTGTCCATTACAAATCATTTGTATTATATAAAAATATGACTCCAATTACAGTAACTGGACAACAGCCATTCAAACTTATGAAGTTTCCATCTTACTCATATTGCAGAACTGGGATGCTCACCCATTTAGGGAAAAAAAATTGTCCAGAAATCAACTTAGAGTTGCAGCTAAGTATCTCGTGCCTTAGAGAAGTGTCAACTGTGGTAACTAGAAGCAGGAATTCAACATTAGCATCCTTCTAGTCTTGCTCACATGGCCATGAATAAAAAGAGCAGGTTCTGTTATACTAGCATCCACAATTAAAATTTTATAACCCCATAAAACACCAGTAAGTTTTGCATGAGCTGCAGAAGAATGCAAATTCAAAGGGTCACTAGATTTATTACCTACAAATTCAGTGTCTTAATATAAATATTCTGTTTGTACACCATAAAAACTTCCTTCTTACGGTCTGATTCTTAGACAATACTCTGATAAAGTCTCAGCTTTATGCCAATTCAGGTCATTAAAGCTATAGAAAGAGTCTACCTAATAAACGCTGCAAATTTAACAGGTATTTTAGATAAGCATCATTAGCTTAGTTATCACCTAAACCAAAAAGACTCCCCAAACACACCAACTGCGTTAGCAAAGACATTTGTTTTACAAAGTCAAATGTTGCCAACTTTTGAAAAGTTTAGCAAATCAACGTGGTATTTGGAAGCATCCAAGTGTCTAATTAAGTTAGAATACTGTGAAATGTTAGGACTGGGGAGAGCTCCTGTAAACAAGTACAGAAGTAGTCTTCATTTAACTTACAAAACATTCACCTCCTTAAAAAGCTTTAAAACTGACCCAGTCAACAACAGTGCCCTGGGAAATCTAGCGGTATAAAGGATCTCTGTAAGCAAGAAAAGGTCATATATTGTGATCTCACCACAATAAAATGTACTCGGTGTGAGAACAAGGAACAAATTTGGGGAGATGACAATTATGACACCTTCAGGCCATTTGATCTGAACCACTGCACTTTTTTTGGGCAGCATAGAGTAAAACAATTTTCTTTGCCGCTCAGAAAACACTTACAATATAGTAATGCTTCATTTTCTGCATTTTGTTGCTAAGCAGACTCTCCCATGTCCCCAGCTCAGTTTACTTGGTTTAAAGAGCTATAGTACCTGCCGCCTTCTGCAGGTGGAAGAAAACTTCAGTGCCACCTTATTAATTGGCTCCATTGACATTTTAACTTCAAACCCAGATGCTACAATTAAAAGCAAATTTGACATTGTGTAAGGAAAGCATCAGATGAAGGTAATAAGCCTGTAAAAGGCTTGTATTCCACAGGTTGCCTCTGCAGAACAGGCAACCTCCCACTACAGAATCTGATCTGAAAATTTATCCCAACAGTAACACCAGGAGGAAGGAGGCTTCTATATCTTGCACACTTTGGGTTTCGTATCAGGCACTTGAACTGTTGGACAGATGCCATTCTGAACCAAGTAACTTAACATAGGGTTAAAATCATCTTTACTCTAGGTCTAATAATGAAGTATCAGCAGCAAAGTGGAGGCAGGGAGTGAGCAATCCATCTGTGCTGAGACTTGTTTATGGTTTCTAAAATGCCCAAGAAGACAGCAGCAGTAACTGTTCCGTAGTGTCCGTTTTCCTTGTGAGTTGTGTTGCAGATAGGAGGCTTTTCTGTGTCTTGAACTAAGAAGGCATTGAGGTACCCTGTGCCTAATTCCCTGGATCCAACAGGTCCATGCTAGAGCCAAACATTGCCACCAGCTGCTCCTCATAATGTGTTATATTCCTCTTCATAATGTCCATGCAGGGTCCAAGCAACCTCTCAAATGCTTGCACATCCATGACTGCAAAGGAACAGAAGTGAAAACAGGATTGTTTGTCAAGAAGGACACCACACACCAATCTGTTTTTTGAACTCAGAATACAGACCACGAGTCCAACCCATTCAGGTTTAAGGCTTCAATAGAAGCCACAGAAACAGAAATCAAATTTCTGATTTCCCTCTGTACTGTTATTTGGAGAAAAAAGATTGATGAAATACACACCCAACCTCAAGGATAAATACAGAAGCCAAATACACACCACATTGGCATTAAAAGATCACCTGAAAGCTGTGTGTGACAAACAAGCTGTAGACAAGAAGCTGATGCTACTTACCCCTTCAAAGAGTACAGGCCACACAAGCAGAAAAAACCCAGAATCTGCTGGAAGGAAGCAGCGGTGCTTCTCAAACTTCAACATGGAGATCCGCTCCAGCCCATGCTCCTGGCTTCTCGTGTCTGACCACCAGTTACCAAAAGGCTGCTAGGTTTTGAATAGCTGCTCGCTCAGGCATGGTCCACAAAACAAGCAAAGACCAGAAAAGGGTAACTAGAAACACACAACATGTGCTTACCTAAACATTTCACCTCCCCAACAGCATAGGCAGAGGCTGCTCTGGGTTTGTTGGTAACAAGTGCAAGCTCTCCAAAATACTGCCCTCTGTGACACCGGGCAATCTCCACTTCTTGGTTAGCTTCTTTACTTGTCATAGTCTGTTAAACAGTACATTTTAATTATTTGCATACAGTTCTGTCTTTGTACGAGGCTGCAGTTAATCCCAGATATCTTACAGATGTGCAACAGCTCATGGTTTAGGGCTTTTAAACTGGCAAGTCCCAAGTCATGCTCTGTACTGGTAGAACACCTTAACAGCATGTTCAGTTACAAGTTTGATAAGAAAAGTGTATGCCAGCCCACAAGTTTTGAGACTGGCAGATATTTACTGTTACAGCTTTGGGAACTGCTATTACTTTAGCCTAACACAGGTTTTATCATCCACAACATGTTGTTCCCTAAGGCTGTTTCAGACTGTACAGAGATCCATTCAAATGCCAATGTCTAGTCTGTCACTGGAGATAACAGACCCCAGGTTTTGTAAGTTGCAGTTTTCTATAATCCTAGAAGAAAAGTTTCATCTCCACTCTTAAGGCCAGGAAGAGTCTATCAGGTTAGTTTGCAGAGGAGCAGATAACAAGCAAAAGACTTTCCAACTTTACTAAAGTGACTTCTGGCCACTTCAGAACAGGTATGGGGATTTACAACCTACATCACGAGTGACAATGAAAATTATCATAAAATAGTATCTTAAAACAAGTCAGGGTAGGCTTTTTCATACCACATGTATTAATCGATCAAATCAGGGATTGACCTAAAGCCTAATCACCCTATTTGAACTCACCTTGCTTTTAATCAAGATTTTTACTTCACCAGATTCTACAATGTAAAAACAATCTGCTTTATCACCCTGTGAAGAGGAAAAGGTAAGACAAATTATTTTTTAGTTTACTGTAAAAGTATGTATAAATGGCATTAAAGCATTCACTCTGAACTAGACCTTGTACAGAAGTCTGCTAGAATTGACAAACACTCAAATTCTGAACATTAAAAGGTGACTGGTTAGGTAATATACTAGAGGAACCCACAGGGCAAGGAACTATTAGTACACATCATTCACTGAGAGGGCAGGTGGAAAAGAAAAAGCAAAGGAGATTGACAATATATAGCAAAATCACTTAATCTAATCCTGAGGGAAGTATCCAATAGTTAGTGAAACTAAGCAGGGCCTAGAATTTCCAGAAGCAAGTGTTAATAAAACACCGATTTGGTGACTGCATTTCTAGATGTCAGTAGGAAGAAGGATCCATTAAACTAAGTACGAGCTCAGTCAATCCAGAGTAAAATAGTGGGAGATCAGCAGAACCCAGAATAGCTGTATTTGAGGAGCGTGAACATAGAAAGTAAGAGGAGGATAGTTTACAGAAAAGCAAGTCCACAATGCAAGCTATCTGCATAAGGAATGATGCAACCGCTGTGTAAAGGTAGTGAGAATGGTAAGGAATAAAGCACTCGGTAGCATCATGCCATTAAAGGAAAGTAAGTCACATAGGGCAAGTGGGAGAAAATAAAAATTGATAGCCATTTTATATCAAGTTCTAGAAAGATATCACAAGGTGTTGAATAACTGAGTGTGAAATATGAAAGTTTGGTTTAGTCAAATTCAGCTGTTTCTATGAAAAAGTCACTGTGAGAGTGACCAAGCACTGGAACAGGTTGCCCAGAGAGGTTCTGAAGTCTCCATCCTTTGGGGTATTCAAAAGCCATCTATCTGGACATGGTCCTGGGCAACTGGCTCTAGGCAGCCCTGCTTCAGCAGGGGGGTTGGACAAGATGACCTCCACAAGTCCCTTCCAAACTCAACCATTCCGTGATTCTGTGAGAGTTTCTAGAACCTTTTTCACATACAGATGTATCTAAACCGCATCAGATTGCGGGCCTTCAACGGTTCGTAGTTTACATCTGCCCTGGAGAGCTTCACTAGGACTTAATATTTTGAAAGTTTTAGCTGTGGCAAAGAGGACTTTCACTCTCTATACTTGGTATAGGACTGGAAGTCAGAGTAGAGAGCCAGCACATGCCTCCTGCTATGAATCAGAAGCAAAGGGACTAAAGGCTTCATGGAGACAGAGGCTGGATAAGGAATTGATAAGGGAATGGGAGCGGCTCAGCAAAAAAACCTGTGAAACAATGTGAGGAGAGTGACAAATCTGACTAAGTCAAGTGGGCAAGGAGACTGTGAACGTGATGGGAAGGATGGAGAGAGATGGTTATGACTTGAGTATGAAACATGGGCTGGGAGAAGACAATGCAAGATTTAAAGATGGAGTTACAGAAGAAATCAGGCCCTTAGCTAAGCTTCCAGGGGATGGTCATAAACCACCCAGCACAAAGCTTTTCATTCACTGTTGCCAGCTACCACAACATGAACTAATACACTTAGCACACTTCTGAAAGAGTAAGTACTGAGAAAGTACTTATTTTTTTAAAAGAATGAAAATAAACTGAGTGGGAGACATCTTCGTAACATCAGCAGGCACTAAGAATTTTCAAGTGCTTTAAAGCACACTGCCCTTAACTGAAGGGTCAAATTCCAGAAAGATCATTAAAATGCAAAATTATCCATGAGAGAAAAGGGGTTCATGGTATTAATGCAACTGCTGTAATGCAAGAGCTATCACATCTTTTACAAGCATAAAATTTCATCATCTTTAGCAGTGCATTACCATCACCCAGACGTACCCAGACTATTAATCCTCCTTTTAAGGGTAATTACATCCTTGTCCTTAATTCAGTTATTACAAAAGATTAAAACCAACTGCGTAATTGGATCACTGATTGCATGGGTTCCCAGTTTTGAAACTGATTTATAAACTTTGATTTTGCTGAGAGTTCGGTTTTCTCAGGATCTTAAGCAACAAGATTTAACTTAGAAAATTGAGGGTATTTTTGGAGAGAAGTAATTTGGCAGTATTTGGTTATCAGCAGACTAAGGTTTCCTGCATTCAGAGTTATCTGACATTCAAGGCAATTAAGATTAATTCTTCAAGACATTATCAAGGAGTCATATTCTGTTTATAAAACAAGATGACAGTTGTGATCAAAAGCCTGCAATTTCAGGTAAGCCAAGGACTTTCTTGCATTAACTTCTACTTGAACTAGAGCACTTTTGCAACAAAGCAACCCCTAGCTAAACGTGATGCAAAATTCCAGTGTTTCATCAGTAACAGTGCTCCAAAAAGTTATTTGTGTCACAGCCAAAAAAACCTCACAGCTTTAGCTTGAGTTTGTCCAGCTTCATATTCCACCGCTCTGGCCTTGATCTATTACAGCAGACAAAACATATATCAACAACCAAAGGCTGTTGATTGAAGCTAGACTACTCCACCACTGAAATATTCTTTTTAAGAGTATCAGGGAAAACAGTGGTTTTAATTAACTGTGATAGTTTCTTAGAACAGTTAACTGAGTTGGGTCCAACTAGTAAAATATTGCCAGTGACTTCATCTAGTTTCATCCAAATCATACGCCTGTTGAGTTGTTTGTTTTTGTTTAGTCAAACCTAGGAATTAGAGGTGTCTTTACTACATGCTTGTGACTCCTGGTTTAATTTGGTCAGAGGTGCCTATAAAAAGTCTAGCTGGAGGTTTTCATGGAAAATTACATAGACAGACATTTAATTTCAGCCTCTTAAGACATACTCCTCTTGACACCTTGCAAAGACCATTTATAAAAAAACAAACAGATGAGAGAAGAAAAACCCAGAAGCTAAAGTTGTAAAATAAATTTGTAGTAAAAGACATACTGGCTGTTCCCCAAACATTCAAGAAGTGGTTAAATAAATTGGAAGTATTAAAAGAATAAGTGATGCCAAGTTGGTCCAAGTAATAGGACTCTATAAGTCAATTCCAAACAGGAAAAAAAGAAGCAGAGAAAGGAGAATGACAAAGAGAAATTTAGATTGCAAGTACCTGAGAAATGATACGTTCCCCATCTTGATACACTTTCTCCCCTATAACATCCACTATCTTCATTCGCTCTGATGCCTGGAACGAAAAGGAAAATTAAACATAATCATCTATTATAGTACACCTCTGGTAAACTTTGTAGCCCTGAAATGAAGAGGCATTCACTAGACAGGCAAACACACTGCATCTGGGTACTGAAAAATACAGCCCCTACAATGACATTGTCATACTGCACCACAGCTTTCAAGACTACCATAATCAGTA